CAAGTCCGCTGCCTTCAAGACCAGCATATATAAAAACCCACGCGGAAAACCTATCGAATGTCTCGCTTCATTTCTTGGCATGTTAAGTAAAACAAGTGTCAACATTTATTACTTCTAAACTTCAGGCGCATTGTGCCCAGAGCCCACGCCTCCCTTAAGCAGCGTTCTCGACCACTGGCCAAGAACTGTAACTTTTGGGCTGAAGAATACCGCTGGTCACAGCAGAGACTTCGTTGGAAACATTACACCGGAGTTCCACAGTATCTACAGCAACTTTTGAATGCAGTCTTCAAAGACTTGAAAGCAGGTTTTCTTTGCTAGTTTCAAACGATGATGAACAATTTTCTATCTTTTTCCACATGCAACAATTGACTAATATTACAGGGCACATTGTAAGAGAATTTATTTTACGAAAATAAAGATGGTTTTCAGTCATAATCATATTTTACGATAACTGCAGAAATTCTCGCGCACTCATTGGCTAATTTTAATTGTTAATAAGCGGACAGACACATGAATTTATAATTTATGCGATGCGTCAACGAGCAAGGGCGGGCAATCTGACAATTTGTTATCGTGAAAAACAAATTGACGTCAGTTTTTAATGCGTCTGTCCTGTTATTGACAACGAATTTCGTCATAGCATTGTCAAAGTAGTCTGCGGCTCTACTCGGCTATCCCCTCGTGGATCCAGAGCTACTTTGACAATGTTATGCCGAAATTTATGATCAATAACAGGACAGACGCATGAGAAACTGACGTCAATTTGTTAAATAGACAACTGACTCGGAAGTAGTTTCTTAGTATTATTATACCCTGCATTGCAGGCGTAAACCGGGAAGGGGTAGGGAGCCAAAACTCCCCATCTATCTGCGCTTTGCCTCCCCCTCCCAATGAACAACGTACTCATGATTTAAAGATTGATGGGTATTTTAACCAATATCTGGAAATTGCCTACAAGTTAAATTTTCTTGATCCTCAGATGGGCGGGGTGAATAGGGGCAAGCAAACTACCAATCCGCGCCATTTTTTCACCAATCAGCCAATATTTGCGTTCAAATCCGGAATCACATTGTTTGCAAACTTACTGTGGTGTGATTCACAGTCAAAGTTTGTAGGTGTTTGTTTTTGCCTTTTCCCGTGGGGCCGCGAACTCCTTCATGTATGTCCTATAGGTATGGGCGGCATCAGAATGCGTGATTTTTGAGCGGTGGCTTAGGCTGAAATAGGGTACAACTTTTGTTTGAAATCAACAACAGATCAACGATCCGTGATATTTTCTCCGAATCCACTCAATTTATCACACAAGTCCTCAATCCGTGCGCATTTTTAAGACCAAATCTGTCGATGCGCAAATCTATTCACCAGACGAGCCCAAACTCAAGCTAGCGTGAAGCATGTAAAGCGTGACCCGTTAGTAAGATGAGATGCAAATTTGTTCGATCACCGCTGACGCTGTCTAATAAATCAGCTCAACTTATTCAGATTCAACTTAATCAGTTCAACTTATTCCGAGTTTCTTCCAAAGGGCTGAAAATCTCGCTTTTGTAACGCAAGAGCCATGTCTGTGATCGAGAAAAACTGGCAAACAACAAAGCCGACTATCAGAGAAAGAAGCAAGCACATGTTCAACAATGATCTCTTCAGCGATGTCAAGTTTGTTGTACGAGGAGGGCTCAATGGCGAAAGTGAAAGTAAACAAGTGATTCCTGCTCACAAGTTTGTGTTGTCGATTAGCAGTCCTGTGTTTGAAGCCATGTTTTACGGTGAGCTGGCGGAGACTACAGACTCTATTGAACTGCCTGACGGTGAGTACGACAGTCTGTTGGAGTTGTTTCGTTACATGTACAGCGATGAAGTGATCTTGAGCGGAAGTAATGTGATGGGACTGTTGTATTTGGCGAAGAAATACATGGTGCCTTCATTGGCTGATAAATGCATGAAATATCTGCAAGATAACTTAGATCCATCAAATGTTTTCAGTATCTTGCCCTCTGCTCAGAAATTCGAAGAGAAAAACCTGGTGGATCGATGCTGGAAACTGATCAGTAAACAGACAGAAGAGGCGTTGAAATCAGAGTGTTTTGAGACCATTGAGAGGTCCTTACTTGAAGCAGTAGTCAAGCATGACAATCTGACCATTGAAGAGATTGAGCTGTTTAAGACTGTTGACTTGTGGGCAACAAAGGAATGTGAAAGGCAAGGTTTGGCGGCAGATGGGGAAGCGAAAAGAAGAATTCTTGGAGAAGAAATCATTAAAGGAATACGCTTTCCGATCATGGATGAAAAAGATTTCGCCAGTGTGGTTTTGGACAGTAAAATATTAACAACAGAAGAAATCATCAGTGTTCTCAAACTTCGGAATTCAGTCCCGAGTCCGCCGAAAGAATTTTCAAAAACTAAAAGATCAGGTTCTGACGGTGACATTCAACGATGCTGTAGATTTAACTCGTTATCAAATCGCAGATTGCGATACGGCCCCTTGAGAGACCATCTTATCTCATTTTCTGTAGACAGAGATATCAAGCTACTCGGAGTGTGCTTAATTGGTGGTGAGAATAATACTTACACGGTAGAATTGGCGGTAACGCCATTGTTTGGAATTACAGCTTTGATGCATAAAACTGGGCAATTTTCCTCTGAGCTTTTACAGGGGGGGAAATTTAACTATTTCGGTTTTAAAGTCTTGTTTGACAACCAAGAGGTCCTTTTACGGAAAAACACCAAATACTTTGTAGAAGCTAAAATAAGTGGCCCTGATTCGATATGTGGAGAC